TGGACGTGTTCCACCCTCCTGTGCGCACCCGGAAATCTATTCTGACGTATAATAACCGAAGTGTCCCGAGCCGCCTGCGCATCGCGGAATCATCGGACAAAGCCGCGAGGTGAGGAGGGATCGGAGGGGCAGGGACGACCTGAGCTTTCGCCAGGAAAGCTCCCGCGCGCGCCAAATCGATCAGGTGGTGACGCTCGCGTGACGACGTCCCGTCGTAATCCACTTTGAGGCCCTCCTGCGGTCCTTGCGTGGATAATGAGGCCGTAACGCGGGCTAACGAACGCGCGAGAATTATGACAGAGGGTGCAGCCGCGGAGTCACACAAATTCAAAGAGAGACGAATCTGATATTTTCTCAGCGAGGACGTCGCTCGCTGTAGGCGGCGGACAGCTCCTCGTAAATCGAACTTTACTTTGATGATAAAGACGGAAATTTCGCTCTCTTCGTCGCGCGGACTCCGATTCGACGAGAGTTTGGATAATCTTAGCGGCCAACTACGTCACGCTAAATTTTTTACTCCCCTCTCTTTCGTCACAATTTCGTCATAATGTCCCCTTTCAATATTACATGACATATGGGATAAAAAATAATTTATAACCATATTGTGGGTAATAATTATTAGAATGTTATCTTTTCCTAAAATAATTTTTAGGCACATAATATCAAGTTAATTATTTTATAATTTTGTTAAAATTTTGCAAAATTATTAGATTTTATAATATTATTAAGAAAAGTGATACTTCAAATGGATTAAATATTTCAAAATTAATATTTTAATTATTATAAAAACTACGTCAATACTTGAGAATTTTCACGAAATGTAACCAAGTGTGTGACGAATGCAAAATGGATAATCATGTGCATCCATCCATTTATGCCATTTAATATGGCCTTTATTCTCCCCTCCCTGCTACAGCACACAAGCTAAATAGTGGTCTGATATAACTGTTGAATGGCCACTTACAGCGTGGTCAAACTTCTGTCGAGAAGAGATCTACTCGAAAAAGTCCATATTTAAGCGTGCGACGGAAATAACTTGATCTCCATTCTTCTTTGGCGGGGAGCTTTTGTTCAAAATTTCAACATTGAAGTAATCGAGATCTCTTTTGCGACGCCGACTACCTGTCCATAGGAGATTAGACCTATCGAGGACGGTGAGCTTTCGTGTAGCAACATTTTTCTCTTTCCCAATCAGTCCGTTTGCCTCTATTAGTTTTTCCCTGCCGCGAGGCAAAGCGGATTTATCTCGATGGCATTACGCCTGAAGAGATATTTACGAGCTGCGTTTTAAGAGCATTTCCTGCCTCGGATCATATGTCGCGCGATTTATCGCGAATGAAGTTAAGATTCCCCGATTAGGCGCCCGGACGAAGGCTCGCTTCACGTACATCTCTGGCAATAATGCGTTGTCGAAATATTTTATACACCAACGATTCGCATCTTGCCCCTCTTTGTGCAGCCCAAGCGATAACGCGGATCTATGTCTTCGCAGCTATATTCACACGAATTATCGTATCGCGAGTTTTCCTCCCAATAACAACATTTTAACTCGTCCGCAAGAGACAATATATTCGTCCGACGCAACGTGTGGCCATCCTGAGGCCGGCGCACGTCTTCGCGCTGCATCGGGCGAAAGCTCCTCAAAGGGAGTAAGGGGCGCGAGCTTGCGCCCTGAGCTGCTCGTCGCAGGAGCACGGCGTCAGGTGGGGTTGAGCTTTTTCGGGGGAGGTTCGTTCGGGGTGCCGGGCAAGAGCGAGCGAGAGAGGGGGGGTGGTGGCGGTCCTCCGGTGGGAGAAACGGCAGACCCGGGCAGTGCAAGCCGGGTTGCCTGCCCGACGATACGGTCGCTCCGGGTTAGGTCGCGGTGTGAAAATACCCTTTTCTCGCTGCAAAACCAGCTCGGGATATCGTCTCGTGCGGGAACGTCGCTTTCTCTCCTGCGCCCGCCGGGCGCTCGCGGCGCCCTTCCGGGTTCTTCCTCGTCAGGAGAGAAAAAAAAAGTGAGCGCGGGGTAGCACGTGCATCACCGTGCGAGAGGTAGCCGAAGAGGGGACCTGTTCTTGGAAGCTGTCGACAAGTAACAGGTTGGTGTCGTCTCCTAGAGAAACGTCTTTCGTAGATCTCGCGATCGATGAAGTCAACTTATCGTAACGGGCTGGCGTTGAAAGAAATTTTTACAGTAGAGTGGAATGACGAGGATTTCTGCATGATGAGGCGCGTTGTACTTTCGGTGATCGATATTCAGGTGTGAACTCGTTAGGCCGAACGGTAATAGAACCGGGCGGAATCCCGCTTGGAAATACGCCCAGAATATCTCGTGCTCGTTCACGAAGAACGAAAGCCTCATTGTTGTAACGATTGCGTGTTATAATAATTCGGAAAATTTCGATCGATTCACAATGACGATGACAATCAAGCGAAGGACGATGCTCGGGGCCAAGTAACAGGTTGCGAACGGAAGCATACGGTCGTAATTACGTTAGCGAGCGCAACGAAATCATTTCTGTAATTTCGCCTCTTTCTCAACGACGTGCAACCGTTGGTATTCCCCAGTATTATCGGGAGAGCAGTCACGACATTCGCGAAGCTCAGATCGTCGGACAATTTGCGCATCAGCATTCTTTCTTTCCCGAATCAGCTGCCGAGCGAATATCGCGCGCTTACATTCCCGCATATTAATGCGGCAAATATGCATTGCGCTATTCAGACACACATAATCCGTTGTAATTTGTTTATTGTATCCGTGTGTAAGCGGAACTTATGTTCCCAGCGTAACTCTCATGAGCGGAATCATTATTGCGGGAATAATTACTTTGGATATTCTAAAGTGGAAAATCGATACTTTAATCGCCGGACCGGAATATTACGTTCCGTGAATTTATATACTGCAACAATTGCTACAATTTCTCGCTTTATTCACCGTGCGATTCTCTTTTCAGATGTATAAACTACCCGCGAACAGAGAGAAAGCGTTATTTATCATAGAGTTGATTCCCCTAAAGCGGGAATGAATACAATGTAAGGATTATTCTCGAAGATTTATTATATTATTATTAATATGTATAACAATCAGAAGTTAAATAAGATTGAAATGAGAGAAAAACTAATACGAAAAGGAAGACATCTGATTAATAACGAGATGAAGCAGTTTCATAGGCGGACTAGTTTAAAGTAAAAATCGAAAATAATTAAATATTTTGCCTTTCAAATGTTACATAAATATTGTGTGTTTAAGAAAAGAAACGAGTATGAAATAGAGGGAGGGGAGGGGCATGACTTGAACTTTCTAGGTAAAACCGTTTCTAATGCGCCACTCTAGGAAACTTTTCCTGTTCCTCGCGATATTTTATTACGACGCTTCTGTCCTTATTGCGAAGAAGTTCTTTACGAGGTCCTCTGCAATTACGATACGATATCGCGCGCTATTTTAATCCGGCGTCTGAAATATCCCGCGATCCTGTGCTCCCTATTGCACATTCTCCATCTTCAATCTTTCAGCAAACGAAGCGGATTTCGATAGTAGTCGGGCAAAGCCGATAACGCAATATGGCTCCTCGATAGACTGTTCCGCGACGGAATATTACGCCGTCTTTCGCTTACTCCCGGGACGATGGAGTCTCTTTCTCGTGTTGCGATCGATGTTCCGTTCGAATTAGATGAAAGCGCAATTAGCGGAATTTCATCGAGCGAGCGATACTTTCGTAAAATCATGCACGATTTTAATTGAAACGTCGGTCTCGCAAATCAGTGGGAAAATGACTGTCGATGATTCGGAGGGAAAATCAGGAAATCCGCGCTCGTCGAGCAAACGAACGCTTCATATTCGCCGGGGTGAACACAAACGAGCTTTTTCTGCTCGCGAATACGCCATTATTTAACTCGCTTATACACCTTATAAACCGTGAAACGTTAATTGATCTTTATATAAAACAAATATGACCCGAATAAATAGTCCGATGATTTCACACAGTAAAAAATCTTGTGTGAATTTAACGTAAGATGAATATGTTGAAAAGTAACGTTGTGAAAAATTTCTCAGGGTTCCCTTGATTAAATAAAAAATGACGCGAAATATCAACAACTGGAGCTAAATTTACATAAAACTATACACAGTGGTATATTATTCGGAACGTTTCTAGCAAATATTATGTCAAAAATTAAACGCAAAATTAACATTCATAATATATTAATGTAAAATGTGTTATCTTAACATTTACACATGTTAAAAATTTAAGACAGAAATTTTCACAAGGACCGATTTTAACGTAAATATGAAATATTTTTTACTGTGCAAACATAGATATACCGCTCAATTCACCGTTGATTGGAATTCTGCGCTCCTTTGTGCGTCAATCCGCAAATCTGTTAACCACCGGGCGAAATTGATCGAAAAGAGAGGGAGAAAGAGAATAGAGAATACAGTCCGCCCGCGCGAAACTCAACTATGTCAAAACGCTGAAAGTTGCTGTTATTAGCTGCCGTGGTCGAATTTTCGAAGCGGCCTTTATTGGCGAATCAATAAGCGACTGTAATAAGCCGCGTTAACGCGCACCATCCTGTGGTCATCGAGAACCAATAACTCAACGAAGAGCGGAGCGGATCCCTTCGGGCGAGACGCCAACAAGCAACGAGGCTCGCGTTATCGCGCGGCGAGTCTTTCCTCATCTCGCAAATTGGCTTCGCGATTCGCCGTCCGCTTCCCCGGGGATTGCGAGCAGAACTTCGGCGTCAGTCCCGGCATGTTTGCTGCGCCGCTTTCGAGATTCGCGTCGGAAACGAAGGAGTGATATTGGCGAGTTTTCCTGCTTACGCCTTCACAGTTCAACGGTTGGAAGCGCGTCGTTGTCCACGCAGCGAATTTCTCTCTCTCTCTCTCTCTCTCTCTCTCTCTCTCTCCTGGAAACTTCCTTGCGATTTTGGACGAAATCACACGACTGTGTTCACGCTTAGAAATATGGTTCTTGTGTAAATCAAACGATCGAGAGAGGAAGTGTGTGGTGGCGCAATCGGCAAAATCCGTACTTTTGCAAGCTCCGTTTAGCTCCGATTTCATGCGAACTTCACTCGTTACAGACTTATCTCGTTCTTGAACTGGGGTGTAATATCTGCGTATATGAAAAAACTACGCGCTCACTTACGCGGTAATACCGCAGAGTGCGAGAATGAGATCGAGCGAGCCAGCAGAATCCGAACAGTATTAAGTGATCGCTGTAACTCGTGCGCGCCAGTGGTATTTTCTGAAACTTGGCCGGCAAGTCTTTCGCAGCGCGTTCAAGCGCGAATAGTTGGCGGAGCAAATTGCACTCCGACTTTGTCGACACGTGTTTGTGTCCATATTTTCCCGCTCACGACTTGCGGTTGCAAGTAGAGAGAGAGAGAGAGAGAGAGAAAATGCTCTCAAAAATAAGGTTGAAATTCTTGTCTGAAGGAATCCACAGCTGTTACATTCTGCTTATCTACGTAACGGTCTGATTACGCGTTATCGCATACGTGTTCATTTTATCCAGTTGAAAAAAGCTCTCTTCCTCTCTCACTTATCGCTCTTATAACGCGCGAATAAAAGAATCCCACCTTTCGTTGAATCTCTTTGGAAATCGAGCCGTTGATAATGTTCGAGCAGGCTTTTGAAGGGGAATAGTGCGCGATCTATCTACGCGAAACGGGGTCAGTCGGCAAACAACGCCACAAATCTCAACACGGATGCTTTCGCTCGTCTTTAAGCTCGCGGGGAAGAAGGTCAGGGTCGAGGTGTCATCGTCCAAAAGCCGACGAGTTTCCGTCGCTTTCCAGGAAAATTCAAAACGACCGCTCTTCGTCTGTCTCGCCGTGGGCGAAAAGGTTGCGGCACTTTTTGCTTAAATGGCCTAATAGTTACTCTTAGAATTTGTATCATTTTTCATCACTATTTTGATGTCTGACGAGTCACTTGTTTTGACCTTTTCTGCGAAGGAGCTATTTTTTCTTCCCATAACATGCGGATGTCAGCGTATTTTCCGCGAGCAACTCGCTGCCGCAATCGAAATAAATTTTTAACGCGCGAATCGAACGCTCCGCGAAACACAGGTAATACGCGATTCTTTTGCTAGAGAATTCATCGCTATCGTGAAATATAATAACATCCCTCGGATCGCTCTGAAATACCATCGGCAATCCGCGCATTTATTCGTCGCGGGCAATGAAAACAGCAACGAAATTTATTCCAGGCACGAATCCCGATCCCAACTAGTATAACTGCCTAGAGCGTGTTCCCCAGTTCCGAACAAACACGCTTCGTGTACACTGCAAATCGAATTACAATAGGAAGATGTATTCCAAGTACGTGCGTAAACTCGCGCCGAAATTCGACGGATCTCGTGAAAATTTTGCGCGGCTGGAAAATTCGAGTCAATCAGCCGACGTTACGCGCGCACAAACGGGATTATATCCAAAGATTCGAGCACTTGATGTGCTCCGAGAGAGGAAAAGAGAGAGAACATAAATGAATTCCGTTGGCGCCTCTCGTGTTACAGCAGCTTTCGTTTTTTCACGTGTGTGTTCTTCAGTCTCATCGATGTTTCTTTGCCGCGCGAACACTCGCGGGTGATGTAAAAGGCGATGACACTCGGCGCCATTTTGCGCGCTTCCTTTTTCCCGGCTACTCTTCTCTCTTTCCCTCTCCTCGGGTGATTACTTCGGGAAGGCGTCGTCTCGCGCAATTTTTCTGAAAGCACCGCAATGGATATCGCGGAAGCCGCACATTTGTGCTCATCTTATCTTTAAGGTAGTACATTGAAAAAAGACCAGTAAATACTCAATTTTGCCGATCGGATTTACAGTAGCCAAATCATTTAATTTCGTATATTACATATACGGAACTACACACAAAGTATTGTATATACGGAACTAAATTATTTGGTTGCGGCAGTCAAATCCTTTTTTCAATATAATAGCATGAGTTATATGTATATATCGTTTCAAATTAATATTTATTATTTAGGTAGTGAAAAGAAAATGTATAGAAACGTAATTTTGTTTGATAAATTTCGAAAAATTATGAATGGCCCTCTTGATGCTCCACTGAAAATATGGCGTTTAACGTGACCTC